GAGAGAGAGAGAAAGAGTGTGTGTGTGTTTGGGTGCGTTTGGCCTTTTCTAGTGTGGACTTATAAGGCAAATTCAAGGTGTTGCTCATGCCACATTTTTGTGCTCTGATTAGAGATCCGAGGGAGTGAGGCCTGAATCATTGGTCTGATTCAGATGCCAATCACGAAATAATGTCCCCTTCATGTGGATGTGTGCATAAGAGAAGAAAAGTAAAAGTGTTTGAAATTAAAAGGTTTCAATGGTTTTCTTCCAAGGTGGAGGATTGGGGGGGTTGAGGGTAGGTTGGGGTGGTGGGCCGCCTACAATCCTCCTCATCACGGGCAGTTGACCTGCAATGGCCTGGAATGTAAATTGATTTGTTTGCAGAAAAGGCCCGAAGCCTTTGGGTGGAGACACATTTCTTCAGCGCCCCCGTCTGCCTCCACCTCCTCCTCCTCCTCCTCCTCCTCCTCCTCCTCACCTTTCAGAACAAAGCCTGGGTGCATTTTCTCTGTCTGTCCTTGTTTAACATGTACAGGCCATGTACCAGCATCCCACTTCAGAAAAAGTGATAGAACGACTTCTGAAAAACAGATCTGTGATGTCATCTGTTTCAGGGGCTGGAAAACTCCAGGTAGTGTGGACGTCAGCCGTAAATGAGCGGATGTAGCCTGAGGCTGAAATAATTTGTCATCTGACCTTTAAACTTTTATTTCACCTTATCACTGGTAATTCCAGAGATAAACTGTAGGGTGCGCTCATTTGATGCTATCTGACTTTAGCGTAACCATCACAACTGATTAATCGAATATTAGAAAAATAAGCTGTGACTAACCAACTGTCTTCAACTGATCTTTTTGATAATGTAGGAAGGAATTAGATAGGAAGTTAATAATTATAACTTTCTGTCTAATATGATGTGGAATCACATATTGTTTACATTTTGGAAATTTGTTCTGAAAAAAAGATTTATTATATAGTTATTTCAACTAATTCTGCTGAGAATAATGGTCCTTGCATACTTTATTATTACCTTGTAATACAGTTTCTGACTAGTTGTCTGTCTGTCTCCTTTTTTTGATGAATTGTTTCCATCACACAAAAGATAAGAATTAATGTTATTTAGGTAAATGGATGTTCCTGCAAATTGAACATGATAAATGAAGAGGACGCTGTCTAAAGGTGAACGGTTCTTGACCATTGTTCTGAGGTATATGTGCTTTAAGTCCAGACAGAGTAGGGTGAAATGTCTCCTCCCCAAAAAAGGCCAGAGCATTGATTTCATTAGACACTGCAGTATGAGGTTCTCTGTTTGCTTAAGCTGCATTCCTAGGATTCCTGGTCGGCTACAGGCCGGCCAAGTTTTGTCTGTGCTTGAGAAATAGTTCAGTTACAGACCTGAGTGAGCCACCAGTGTTTCTCAACACTATCTGGGTTAGAGGATATAAACAAGTCTTTTCATGATTCATTTCTGGGTTGTTAGTTGCCGTCAGCAGGAAATTCTACGTTGTGGACACCGCTGTGTTGCAGTGTGAAAGTCAGAGATTGGTGTCAAATGTTTCTAGCATAAACACAATGTCGTACCTGAATGTGTATGAAACACAAAAGTGTTTTTTTAAAGTCAATCTCATTTTAAACCTTTAGCACAAAGGTCCTTTCTATCGTGAGTTTCCTTGATTAGAAATTAACTTTTATTTCAAACTTAATGTCAGTGTTTTAATCACTTTGCTCCGTATTGTTTCATCCCCCCAGTACGAGAAACACCCAATGTGTTTGGAGCTAAATTCAATGATTCTCGTAACTAATTTTGTTGGGAAAGTACTGAATCCTGAATGTTCCGCTCTCACCGATCTTCAGTCATGAAGCGATGTTTCGTTCCGCCTATCTGAACGAGTAGATATTAATTCTTCATGAGACTGAAACTTAGAAGTTGTGGTGTTCCACTGCGATGTGGGTAATGTGTTTCAGATGGCATCTTTCGTGGTTAAACTCACGTCTCCGGCCTTCTTCTCCGACATTTCCAGATTCTCCTGAGCATCCTTCAGGGCCTCCGAGTACTTGTCCAGCTCGTCCTCTGTTCCCTTCAGCTTCTTCTGCATAGCCAGCAGCTCATCCTCCAACTGAGAGACAGTTATAATGACAGAGTTAGAAAGGATATGGCAAAACAAATCAAGTTTTGGCAACGTAAAATTAAATATGAATGAAAGCATTCTTGATGGATACCAAATAGTTAGGAATGCTCCCCTGCTAATAGTTTTGGATTAGTTCATAACAAGTGAAGGGGATTTGGTAAAAAACCCAGAATCACTTAGGCTCCAATCAGAGTTTTCTGACTTATTTTTACCCTTATATGGCCATACACACATGGTCAACAACTGAGGTGGATGGAATTTGGTCAGTGGTGTTGCAGCAGTAAATAATTAATGTAAAGCAATCTTACGCAATTTTTCACCCCAGAATAGCAGCTTCACAGTTTGTTTGATGGTTCACTGACCTGGAATAGAGAGAATGGGGCCACTTTCATTCCTACTCACCCACACTCACTGTGGTGGTACGATCTCCTGTGAGAGTGTGTGTAACTGACTTATAAGGCTTTAACAAGTTCAAAAGTAAAGCTGAACTGTAGATGAAGCAAAAAGACTTTGTTAATCTACAATATTCAGCAAAGAAACGTTTAAAATATAAAGAATTCTGAAGAGAGTTTGGTGGATTTGTTACAGCTCTCTAGTTCAGGAAGCTGGAGCTCATGAGTAATATCCACCTCTAGATTACGTTTAACCACTTCATTGCTCGGGCACAGAGCCCAAAAGAATGAATCGCCATGTGTGGACGCAGAGGGCGCTGTTAGAAGTTACATGCAACATACAACTTCACCGCTTGATGCCACTAAATTCTACACACTGAACCTTTAAGCAAGAGTTTACAGCCATGCTTGAGGATTTTTGACACCACGGTATTTTGAGCCAAAGTGGTACTTTGAGCCAAATGCTAGCGTCAGCATGCTAATATGCTCACAATGCCAATGCCAACATGTTCTGTGTTAGCAGGTATAGCATTTACCATGGTCTCCATCTCATTATATTGTTAGTTTGGTCAAAACCCAGAAATTGGACAACTTGAAAAGGTGGACCAACCAAAACTGCCACCTTTAGTGTAGCTAGTGTGGCTAAACGTTGCTAATATCTTTAATAATACATAATCTATGTCTCCAACAGTGTTCATAACAGCATTTGAAAGAAGTTCTAAAGTAAACTGTTCATCGTGAGTTTCCAGGGGTTTTTGAGAATAAGTTAAAAAAAGACACATTGCTGCTGATTTCCTTGTAATTGACGCAATCCCTAGTCTGTTCCATGTAATGTAGTTTGGTGTATTTTCACTTCCTTTCGTCAGCCTAACTTTACTCCGATGTCGCACCAAGAATAGCATAGAAAGGCTTCTCTTAGCAGTGCGTGTGTTCCTGCCATCCAAACAAACTAAAGAGCTCTACATAATCTTCTAGGATTTCATGCTGTCTGCTCCTTGATATAGAAGACATGCTGAGGGCCCATATGTGCGGTGCCAGTGACAACTGTCACTTCATGCGCTCTCTAAGGGTATGATTAGGGCATTAGCCTCCACAGAGAGGATTCTTTCCACTTGCTTTAATGTAGATCCTGGCTTTGTCCAAGCCTCATCAGCTCCCTGCTCCCCAGCATTCCTCTCGCAGTGCCATGATGACGACACCACCACCCACTGTCCAATAACTGCCTCTACTTGGAAACCTCAAATATCCTCTTGCGTCTCTAGCTTCGACTTTGCTTGTATCAAGTGGTGCACGTATGTTTTCATTAAGTTAACCCTCAAAATATGAAGCTGCCTGAGGCTCTAGCAACGCAGTGCCAAATACGGGTGTGCAGACATTTGGAATGCATGAGGTTTTTCCTGAGATTTTACAGACGTCGATTCAGATAACGATACTGGGAAACTCAGTCTACTCCAGTCAGAACAACAGCTGCTGTAGATGGTGCATTCTAACTTATGCAGCACCATCCCTCTGCTTCTCTGATGTGCCCAGAAGTCACTTTGCTATTTTGTTTGCTTTCCCCTGTGGACATCCTCCACGTTCTCCTGCCCACTTAGAGACAAGGCCCCTGGGCTCAGTATCAGCTGCTCTCTGATATTCAGCATTTGGTGCTGTAGGAAATACTTGACATTTTCTTTCTGAGCCCCTCTACAGTCTGCTCAAGGGTTAGGCGACTTTTCATTTTAGACCAGGTTATTGCTGAAATTCAAATATCACCTATTTGTTATTATTATATATTAATTGCAACATTGGGCTGTTTTCTCTAAATAATCTACCTACATTAAATTTGGAGCAACATGGAATCACAGATGTCAGTTTGACTAATTATCACAGTATTAAGAAAAAGATACCATTTAGATTAAAGAATATATAAACATATAAACTTGGATATTAACATATAAACGCTATTTTATTGTATGCCACACACAAACTTCAATAACTACTTTTGTTAAGTTTAATTTATAATTTGCTTGGATCAATTAATCAATCAATTGACAACAGAATATACTGTTTATTGCGCCTATAGCTTTTCCAGATATAAATATATTAGTAGACTTTATATTACATTGATAAATTTAGTACATTGTGTAGGTGCATAATGTATCAAGTATTTTTCAAGTGTACTTATATGCTGTACTATACACATCTGTTCTTGTTCTTTCTGCTTTGATACTCAAATGTCCATGTATGGTATCAATATAATCATATTAACTTTTGTATGAAAGTCAAAATAGTGTTAATAACTTCCCTTCTTACTTATATCCTATGAATCCCATCATTCACATCTCACCTGCTTGCATTTATCGTCTGCTGCCTTTTTGTCAGACTCGGCCTGTTCCGCCCTGTCGATGGCGTTCTCCTTGTCCAACTTCAGCATCTGCATCTTCTTCTTGATGGCCTCCATGGCGACGGTTGGGTCTCCGGTGTCTTGTAGAAAAAAACTTTTGTTTCTTTGGGTGAGAAGCCGTTGCAGATGCTGAGAGGAAAAGCCCTCACTGGAGCCCTCACAAAGTTAACGGGGAGAGCGAGTGGCAGATGAAGAGAGGAGGGACGCAGAGAGGGGAGCTCAGAGCGAGGGAGCACAGGAGAGGAGAGGAGGATGCAAAGTGAGAGTGGCTATTGAGCTCTATGTGATTTAAACTTGACTGGAGATTTGGAGACGGCCCAGGTCCCCGGTGACAGCCTTCTCCCACCCTTTACCCCTTCTGCCACTCCCCGCCATGGTTACTCGACATCTATTTGTGCCCCCCCTCCCTAAAGTTCACCTCTCAGAAGCTCAGTGTGATGTTTTTGTTTTGGCAATGTGCAGCCTGTCTCCTTATTTGGCTCATGGCCTTTTTGTTTTGGACAGAACCGGAGAGGAAAAGCAGATAAGAAGCAGGATAATGATCCAGAACTCAGACATCAAAAGGACATTGTTCACATTAGTAACATGAGTTACTCTAGATTATTATTTTTTCTTCCTCTGGGCTGCATATCTATATGCCTGTGTTCTTACTCAGGAATGTCCAAATTGATGTTAATACCAGAGTTGGTTAGAAAGGACATAGTTTTCATTCTACCACGGAATGAAAAAGGGCTGTATGGAAAATTATCCAGCCAAAGAAAATTTGGAGGAAAGAGCTGTCTGCATGTGATCTACACCAGGCAGCCGGAGCGTTTCAGTCGAGCTACACAGACGTAAACTACAGGTCTGCTGCAATTAAGATCCTCTTAATTACTATTGGTTTGACAGACCTGTATTTAGATCTGTTCTGTAATTTGTTAGTCACACAATATGAAAAACATTTACAACAAGGGTTTTATAAAAAAATGTTAGACTCTCAGGGATTCCAGGAATATATTTTATGTATATAAGATAATTGTAAAGTAGGTAATTTATGGTACTGACTCTCTCATATTTACCTTTAATATTTAGTCTCTTTCAAGTTTATCATGTTTGCACGTGAAAGTTTGAATCAGAAACCAAATGGCAAAAGAAAACAAATGAGAAAGAAAAGGAAGTCTAAATCTGTAATTTACAATTAATACTGGTGAAAAGTGTTAGAATTGAAATAGAATGGGATTGTGTGAATGTGTGTGTGTGTTTGTCTGTGCATGCGTGTACCATAATGACATCAACACTGATGGACCTGTGTGCTTTCATTTAGCTCCACTCTGCCAGCTGCCCTGGCTAAAAATAAAGATTACAAGGAAAGTCAAAGAACGGTGAGGCGTCCAGCGGCCATTCAAGTGACATCTGAAGATAAACTCCGACAGATGCATCTCCGATTTTTCATGTTGCATGACGACTTGGTCGTTGTTATTTCTTTTGCAGACATTATCCTGGCTGGTTGGTGTCTTGTGTGGCACAGAGAATGATTCAGAATGTGTGAATTTAAATCAAACCTGAAACTGAATCTGTTGCTGCAGGAGATTCGTCTTTGAGAAACTTGATGCTGCTGTTTCCACGAAAAACCACAAATTCTTCAAATTTTAAGGTTGTTATTTTTTTTCAGGTTATCAGAAGGACCAAGACCTCCTTTGTTAGATAATAACATTTCAAAGCAGAAAAATCATTGGATTATGTGAAAAATGTACAGTCACATCCCTAAAAATGCTTTTCAGTCCACTATTATTCGACTGCAAGTCTTGTCTTGAATGACTCATTGACACTGGAGTCTTTTTTCAAACTGTATGAAAGTGTTGGCAGTTTAATCGCTGTAAACACTCAGGGGTTAACAAACGCTTCTACATCATGATCTCCAATGATTAGAGCACTCACTGTGGGCCTTATTTGGTCTGTCAGGCTGCTCGCTGCACATGATATTACCTCGATATTATTGCGATAAAACAATGTAACAAATATTGATTTTGGATGCGTCTCATAAAAATGTCTTAATTGATGTCCTAACACTGTGTTGTGCAGTAAGTCAGAGTGGGTTGTGCAGTGAGCAGAGAGGATGGTTTGGAGCAGAGCCAGGAGAGAAGAACGAGGAGCGTAAGAGAGAGGAGGTGAGGGAGAGAAATCAGAACCCTCCCACAGGAAACCGAGCTAAACTCTTCTTCTCCTTGTATGGTAAAAACTCCCCGAAAAGCCACAGGATCGCCTTGGGAGTACAGTCAAAGTCCTGCTAAGTATAAATCACACAGCAATGGGAATAGTGTAATGGATTAGAGTGTATATGAATGAAGAACACAAACTGGGACACTTTTAGCAGCACTTGATGTCATGCGAGGGATATGTAAACACAGATATTACAGTAAAGGCTGTACAAGTCAATTTACAAACTGAAAACGTTGCATTTAGTGCAGTGATCAACCAAAGGAAATATTTATATGAACATGTATGATTGCAAGAGTTTACTCTGGCAGTGTACGCACCAACACCTGTGTGTTCATGGTGAGTCAGTGTTGTGAGACAGGCCCAGTCATCAATGCAAACACGTCCGCCTTCTGTACAAACACGTCCATCAACTACACAACTACATCCAATGAATCCCGAACACAAATGCTGACTATGGAAGGGGCAACCTGTTATATTTGGCTGTGTAACTCAGTCCAGTTGTATCTCAGACTCCTGACAATGTCTACGCTCCATCTTACCAGCCAAGGGATCAGAGATCTGTCACTTTGACGAGGCACAGTTGTCTCACACAAGCCCGGCGCTGAAAGGCTTTTCACGCCGAGAGAAGGGTGGCGTTCCTGAAGAGGAGCACAGGGACGGTCGTCGGCGGATCTAAGATTTCTCTCGCCATAAAGGAGCAAATCTTATGTTCCAACATCCATGCACTATTCCTGATTCAGCCATGTTAACATTCAATCATCCTTCTGCTTCACATCCTCATCACTGTGTCACAATACTCACCTGTTTGTGTTGCGGTACATGAGCATGCTAATACTTACAGGCTTAATGCTAAGTCTGTACCAATTCAATAATTACTCTGGGAGCTTTGTGTAGCATAATACACTGACACGTTAATAAGTAGTATATTTTTAGACTCGAGCAGCAGCAATTCTTCTTCTTAAGTTACAGGGGTCTTGTTGCCTCTGATGAGGTCATTATTTGTTGCTTGGCTGCCATTTAGGTTTTCGCACATCAGCATTTATAGTTAGTGAGATGATCAGCTGCCTTCTGTTTGGGTGAATAGAGTTTAGAGCATTTATGACGGTGAAATCTCAACTTAAATAGAGACTGACACACTTATTTTCACTGTTGAACAATAATAAGAGAGATTCAGAACGAGTGGCTGATTGAAGGAGGATGTGAAGGCCTGTTGCTAGTGGACACCGTGGCTAAATGTATGCTGACACCACATCCACATACTGTAACATTGTTATGTGGTTTTTATCTATGGGGCTATTTTTAATGTTTTGAGTAAAGGTCATCACTTAGGTATAGTTAGTTGTTTTATGGCTATAATACAAGTATAGGGTGGAACAGTGGGTAGCAAAATGTGGTGATTAGCACTGTTCTGGGGTTTTCCTGCATGTTCTCCCTGTATTTGTGTGTGTTTTCACCAGGTACTCAAGCTTCCTGCAGAATCCTGTTATGTTAATTGTAGACTCTAAATTGACTGTGTAAATGTGAGTGAATGGTTGTTTATCTTTGTACATTGGCTCTGCGATTCGCTGGCAACCTGTCCCGGGAGTACCCAGCCTCTCAACCCAATGTCAGCTGGGATTGGCTCCAACTTCCCCCTTGAAGTGTAAGTGGCATTGATGCTGGATGGAATTTAACATGATAACACATGTGTGCACAGAACCAGTTTCCCGTGGCAGAATTTGGCCGGTGTGCACAGAACATTTAAAAAAAAAAAAACCGCTGCTGGGATGAACTGGAACACAGACCGCAAACCAGGCTGCATCACCATAGTCAATAGGTTTGGAATAAGAAGTAAATATGGGTGTGAGTTCAGTTGAGCTTTACTCCCAGGCTGTTTGAGACATGTGATCTGGTGAAAGATGTGAGGGTTGGTATGACACGCATCACAACACCAAAAAGTCACAGGAAGAAAATATGATTTAGATAAAATAAATGAATTGCAATGATTTTAACTTACTTAAGAGTTTTAACTTGATAATTCACTGTTGTTTGTTGTATTAATCAGTAAATGCTTGTTCATCACATATTGTCATATTTAATTCTGAGCCGCCCTCTCTCTCACCGTGGCAGTATGGTGCTATCTTGTGGTGATCATCAAGTTGCAGGAGCAGATCATATGCAGATCATTCACTTCTCCAGTAGAGGAGGCTACAGGAACAAAAGGCAACTCAGAAACCATGAGATCATTTCAAATTTTCTGGAAATGATTCCTCTTGCCTGAACATTTTCATCAGATGTTTTCCACCTCCATCAAGACATTTCTGATAATAATGTGAAAATATCAACCATTTATCATTACTTGCATTGGTGCTGTAATGTTGTGTGACCTTAAAATAGGTTTTAATTACTTCCTCTTGTTTGCTTTCATTTATTATTCTTTACTTGCAAAGCACGTTATAATTGTGTTTCAAAATGTGCTGTGTGAAAAATAATAATAATAATAAGTATTGTTATTATCATTATTATTCTTAATAAGACATGTCATAATTAAAATCAAAGAATAAACTGTCCATACTTTTTTTTCCTCTGCTCCTGCGCTGAGTCCTCCTTCTCCTAGGGGGCGCTCTTTAGAGAGAGGCTGGGTCGCTGTGACAAAAAACGAGGAAGTCTCTCTTTCCTCCATCCTCCAGTATTATGAATTAAAATCTGTTTGTTTGAATTCATCCCGGAGGAATTTCGTCTTTAAACGCGTGTGAATTAATCCAAGATGTCTGCGAGCGCCGTGTACGTCTTGGATTTAAAAGGAAAGGTAAGATAACGGGACCGGCTGCTGCGATGCTAATGCTAGCTGTTAGCCTAGCGAACACATTCCTCAGTGACAGATTATGATGTGGCTGATTCCGCAGCAGAGCAGCTAACGCGTTAGCACGGGTGGATTTGCCAAGTGTCAAGGTTTTAAGCTTCTGTCTTAACGTAATAAATGTGACCTAGAGGAAGGAGCCTCGTGACATAAGATGTTAAAGCTGGAGAAGACATCAGGCCGCTGGCTAACAGGCAGGTGGTGTCAGCTGTT